TTTTATAACATTAAAGATTTGTTTGTTTCAAAAATTTATTCCAAATTGTCGTTTACCAAAAAATATTAACGGTTACAAAGAATCGAAAATGTTCCACTCATATCAATCCACGAATATCAATAAAGACTATGTATCGAAACAACAATTAAATGATTGAATTTTGAATATATATACACTAATAGATGAGATATTTTACATAACCAGATCATGTCAAAAATTATATAGAAGGAGACTCATCTTTTATGGAGAGTGTCATATTTTGCATTTGAGTTATCGTCAAAAGTGTTTGAAACCCATCTTCAATATATGTTGTGCGAAAATTCCTTTTGATGATCATTTGAAAGACTCGATCAAAGCTGTGTATGGTATTATCAATGTATCATCAATAACTCATCTTTTTCTGGTTTTAGATTTGGGTTGATCATTGTGTTTTTCTTATGGTTCAACTATGTTTTTCTTGTGTACTGTAACACTTTTTAATCAATAAAAATTCATCTTCCGGGAAAAAAAAAATCATGTGAAATTACATATCTCACGTATGGAAAGGTTAATTTGGAGAAATTATTTGTTATTGACTTGACTCATGTATAATGTAATCTATTATGAATCTAATGAAGTCATGTGCACTGATATATAAAAACCACATGTTTATAAATTAGAGATTTGAACATAATTACAAAAAAAAACATTGGGAAAATTAAAGCCATGATATGTAAATTTCTTGATATTGGGATGAAATTGAAGTTTTATTTGCAAAAAAAAAAAAATTACAGGAGGGAGGCACGTGGAGAGTGGATGGCACACGTGCGGCGAAACCGGTAAGGGAGGTAACCGGTTAGCTACTCTCTCTCATGCCAGATTGGACGAGAGGGAGTGGGTGGGGAGAGAAGTTTTATCCTTTAGGCTTTCATGGGTAGGTCCCCTTTTACATCTTTCTCCCTCATAATGACCCCCTAAGTTTTGTTTTATTCCATTTGTCACCCTTTTTCTTTTTATTTCTATATCCCCCCCCCATCATTCTCCTATAAAGTACAGAAAGGACAATATTTCGAGCTAAATCTCGGACTATACATACTTTTACACTGTCAAAAAGATAAATCGAGTTATACTAATAGCTAATTCACAAATACAACATGATTCAACATATTTCATATTCAAGCATATTATGATTATGTAATAGTATCATTTTTTGCCACGTGAAACCTGTTAACATTTGTTTTTTTTTTTGCTAAATGATTGACATTTGTTTTATCAGTGGAGAGAAGAATAATATCACAATTTGTTATACAGTATTAGAAAAATTAAGAATAATATTAAGAAATATGAGAGGAACGACAATGTTGCACTTGCATCCCTCATATAAAATAGGTGGGAATGGGCTGGCATGTCACATTCCAAAAATATCGATAAAACAATATTTTTTGTATATGTTTTTTTTTTGTTATGTTGCAGGTGTATGATAGAAAATGACCAGCCTTGACGTCTTAACGTGCACCTCATTCATCTAGGAGTAACTCTTTTCAATTTATGAATTTCTCGAATTTTTTAAAAATTTAAATATGGAGTTTGCAATTTACCGGATTTGGTCTAGTTGAACGATTCGTTTATAGACGAAGTTCGTTTTCTACTTGTCGTGATGGATCCGAACCGGTTCAACCACTTGTTTGTAATTGTCACAAATCCCTTCAAAGATGATGATATGTATGTGAAATTTCCAAGGTCTATCAAGCTGCCGAGTAAGGTTAAATCATCTCTTTTGGTCTTGTTTAAATACAAATTTATATATTCATCAAATGTCTTTGTTATATTTAACTGCACTGCTTGAGTTGCTGCATGACTTGCTTTATCTGATCTTTTGTGGGCTTGCCGTTACGTCGATACAAATGTGGTCAGGCTTTTATGGAGGTAAAATAAGTTGCAAGAAGAGACTAGCTATGGTTACATTCATCATGTTGTGAATCTTGTCTGAATTCATACCCCAAGCATTATTGTTTAATACTTTAGAGTCATATTAATGATATAATAACATCTCAAATTTAACAGGAAAACATACACATGTATAATGTATTGCATACATGCATGTAACATTATACTAAGAAATTAACCACGTGGAAGGTGGAAGGTGGCCTAGTGGTCTTGAGAGTAAATACTCATGTTCAAGATCACTAGTTCAATTCCACTTGGAAGAGATGATTTACGTCTTAAGTGTGGTATTATCAACGACTGGTCCCTGGCATCAGAGGAGATTATGGAACAAAGATCCGGAACTTCCAAGATTTATAAAAAAAACATTATACTAAGAAAGAGTATTTTACATTATTTATATTATGGGCAATTACAGAAATGCCACTTTTTGTGTGCACATTTGCAAGAATGTCACTTAGGGTTGTCCATTTACAAAAATGCCACT